GGTGTGTGAAGGGCTCTTCAGGCATCTCACATCTCACACTGCAGCTTTCAGCTAAGTTGTACGTGTGCTAGTGCTTCCTGCATTATCCGGAGCATGCAGGTCATCACAGCCTGTCCAAGCAGACATTAGACATCAAAACCAGGAAAATGGCTTCTGGGAACAGGACTGAGGTCTAACAGTGCCTGATGTTTCCCCTTAAGGTGGCTCCATGTCCAACATGTATGCCATAAATCTGGCCCGCCATCGTCAGTGTCCCAACATCAAGGAGCACGGCTCCTCTGCAGCTCCGCCACTCGTCCTGTTCACATCCCAGGAGGCAAGTTTCCTTCTCCACTAAAGCTCTCCTGACCTGGGCCAAGAGGCTAGAAGGTCCTTCTCAGGAACACGTGGTTCTCCTGTCAGATGTTTGTGGTGTCATCTCTTTCAGTGCCATTACTCCATCTCCAAAGCAGCAGCTTTAATGGGAATCGGCACCAAGAATGTTTATGCTGTGCCATCGGATGACAGGTAAGGTGACGACCCGGCATATTACAGTTGGGATATTCACCTCTGACGTGAACATTTAATGATTCCCTGTTGGAGTTTAAATGAAAACCCTTCTGTGTCTTAGAGGGAAGATGGTTCCTTCTGCCCTGCAGGAGCAAATACAGACGGCTAAAAGCAAGGTGAGGTCGACGGTGTTGTGGAGGAACCTGTGCTGAAGGTGTTTTAGTTCTGAGGATGAAGATGTGTTCAGGGAGAAGTTCCGTTCATGGTGAACGCCACTGCAGGAACCACCGTACTCGGAGCGTTCGATCCGCTCGATGCCATCGCAGACGTCTGTGAGAAGCACGACCTGTGGCTGCATGTAGACGTGAGTGTGGGCACGCCAACGAGCCGCCTCATCTCCAACAGACTCATCGCCGTCTTCTTTCTCTCCCCCAGGCATGCTGGGGAGGAGGAGCTCTCATGTCCCAGAAGCACAGACAGCTTTTAAAGGGCATCCAGAGGTGAGAGGAGCTGACCACATCTGGATTCATCTGAGCTTCTCCCTCTGAAGTTTCTGCTGTCTCTGTAGAGTTGACTCGGTCTCCTGGAACCCTCACAAGATGCTGATGGTTTGTCTGCAGTGCTCAGCGTTCCTGGTTCGAGACATGACAGTAAGACGCGCGCGTACACACACACACGCACACACACTCTCACACACATATTTGGAGTAAAATACGTGACTTTGTTTCTGACCAAAACATCAAGACACTGATATCTGATGACATCTAGAAGAAGAAGAAGAAGAAAATATCATTTCTATAGCGGCTCTCAAGATAAAATCACGAGGAGCTTCACAAAAACAAAAAAAAATGTTAAAATATAAAAAAGCATTTAGAAAATGTTTAAAAATATATTTTGAATGAGCAAGAATAAGCAATTGGGATTTAAAAGAAAAAATGTAAAGAAAGAGAGAGAGTGAACAGGAAAGAGGGAAACCAGTGGATCCTGAGGAAGGTGGAATAGGTGGGGAGAGCAGAATAAAGAGAGAGAGGTGAAGAAGGTCATACAAAAGCCAGCTTGAACAAGTGAGTCTTCAGCTGCTTTTTAAAGGAGACCACTGAGTCCACTGATCTCAGGCTCAGGGGGAGAGAGGTCCAGGGTCTGGGGGCCACAGCAGCAGACGATCTGTCACCTTTGACCTTTAGCCTGGTGCTGCACAACCAGTAGGCTTTGATCACTGGACCTCAGGGACCTGCTGGGGGTGTAGGGACTAAGAAGATCACCAATGTAAGATGGTGCTTGTCCATGTAAGGCCCTATAGACCAGAACCAGGATCTAGAAAAGAACCCTGAAGGTGACTGGCAGCCAGTGAAGCTGGAGGAGAAGCGGGGTGATGTGGGTGTGTTTGGAGGACTTGGTCAGAAGCCGAGCACAGGCGTTCTGAACCACCTGTAGACGGTTCAGGGAGGTTCTGCTCAGACACGTGAAAAGAGAGTTACAGTAGTCTAAGCGTGAGGAGATGAAGGTGTGGAGAACTGTCTCAAGTTCAGAGCGGGACAGAATGGGACTCAGCTTAGCAACGTTCCTGAGATGGAAGAAGGAAGAGCCAACAAGAGAACTGACATGAGAATCCAGGGTGAGAGCTGGGTCAAAGGTCACGCCAAGATTCCTGACAGAAGGTTTGATGTGAGAAGCAAGCTGACCAAGAGAGTCTCTGACTTTGGGAACCAGCTTGTCTGGGGCACAGATGAGGATCTCAGTCTTATCTTCATTCAGCTGAAGAAAGCTCCCACCATCCAGGCTTTGATAGAGTCTAAGCAGGTGTGTAACAGCTGCAGCTTAGACATCTCATGGGGCTTAAAGGAGATGTACAGTTGGATGTCATCTGCATAAAGATGGTAGGAGATTCCTTTGAAGGAGCTCAGGATGTGCTGAAGAGGAAGCAGATAGAGGAGGAAGAGTAGAGGCCCCAGCACAGAACCTTGTGGGACACCATGGGTAAGAGAGGTGGTGGAGGACCTAAACTTGGAGACGGCCACAGAAAAGGAGCGCTCAGAGAGATAAGAGGAGAACCACTCCAGAGGTGATATCTGGTGGTGTCACCACTAGTGTGTGTGACTGACACGGTAATAGGAGTCATTTACAGCTCTGCTGCTCTGGTGACCATCGTTTGACTCAGACTGTGACACCTAGGTAGTTATGGTTGCTGGTACTGGTGCTGTCAGTGGTTCTGGTGTTTCTCCTGCAGAGTCTCCTCCAGCGAAGCCACTCTGCTCGGGCCTCCTACCTCTTCCAGCAGGACAAGTTCTACGATGTGAGCTACGACACGGGGGACAAGTCCGTCCAGTGCAGCAGGAAACCGGACGCCTTCAAGTTGTGGCTGATGTGGAAGGCTTTAGGGAGCAGAGAGCTGGAGCAGAGGGTAGACCGAGCCCTCGCCATGGCCAGGTGAGAGAGGGGGAACCGGGTCACATCTGGATGGTTCTGATGGAAATCCCATGAGTTCATCACACAGGACCAGACACCACCAGCACATTTGAATCCTTGTTTCTTTGGTTTGATTCTGTGAAATCAGCTGATGCGCAGCTCCCTGTGTTGGTCCAAACCAAGATAAAACATGCTGTGATGTTAGGAGCTGTCCTTTATTCAGTCAGACAAAACAACAGTTCAAAATCTTTTCTGGTGTCTGAATAAATTTCCTGCTTCAGTGTAAAGTATTTGATGAATGAGGAACTTTTATTTTCAGGTATTTTGCTGAAGAAATCAAGAAAAGAGAAGGTTTCCGTCTGGTGATGGAGGTTAGTCTGTCTCTCGTCCGTAAGTAAAGCTGCATTTATTTAAAGATCTTGGCTAGGGGCAAAATTCCTTTGAACAGCACGTGTAGAGAAGTACTAAAACCTCAGATTAAAAAGGTTTTGGGATTTTCACGGCTGGAACAACACATTCTCACACCCGAAGTGTCGAAAAATGACGCGTGTGACCAAGCGTCAAAATATGACGATCAGGATACCCCGGCGCGTCGGGAGAGGACGCGTTGTGCCAGAGCGTTGGTATCCGACGCCCGCGGTGACGGACATTTGACCGACTTGTGAACTACTTAACCTTCCCCTCATCCCCATTCTAACCTTAACCAGCTTGCGCATGCGGATCTTAATTGAAAATTACTGAGTTAAGGTTAGGATGGGGGTGAGGGGAAGGTTAGATTGCAAGAGGTTTGAGGAATAATATCTGTGTCACCGCGGGCGTCGCATACAGACGCCCGCGGTGACATGTGTGCCTGCGCGTCGGGAGAGGATGCGCATGGACACCCTGATCGTCATATTTTGATGCTTGGTCACACGCGTCATTTTTCGACACTTCGGGTGTGAGAATGTGTTGGGCTGGAATTGAAAGAAAATCTGATGTTTGTGACCGGCGCGGGAAAAACAGAAACTAGCTTCTGGGCTAAGCCCTGGGCATCTCTCACAAGCGCCAGTAGTCCACCCCCCGAGGCAACCCAAGCACCTCCAGAGGGGGGCAATGCCCCCCCAGTCCCAGACACCCCCAGTGAACCCACCTCCAGGGAACATCTGGATACTCCAAACTCAGACCCTCCACCCCCCCACCCACATCATCCCGCAGGACAACATCAATGGTCCCCCACCCTCGCTATGTGATGGAACCGATCAAAGGAGCCCAGAGAGATTGATCTGAAGTGGAAGCAGAGGCTATATCAAGTGTAATATGATCTAACAAAAGATTTCTATACTGGTTAATGCAGAGAGTTTCTCTATTTTTCCAATTCAAGAGGATAGTTTTCTTAGCGATGCATATGGCAGTCAGAACCACGTGAACCACAGATGTTTCAATCGGGACATCGTCCAGGTTTCCCAGTAAACAAAGAGAGGGGGAAGTTGGGATATGACATTTCAGACGTTTTGACAGATCCTCACATACTCTACCCCAAAATTCCTGGACAGGTGGGCAGGACCACAGTGCATGAATGTAATTGTCAGGAATGTTGTTTGTGCAGTATGTACAGGTGTCAGACGACACAAGCCCCGTCCTGAACATCCGATGACCTGTATAGTGTACTCTGTGTAGAATTTTGTACTGAATTAATTGTAAATTGGGGTGTCTGATCATTTTAAAAGTTTTTAAACAAGTTTGGGACCAGAAGTTCTGGTCAAAGCTAACTGATAGATCCACCTCCCATTTTTCAATAGGGATTGCTATTTTATCGTCTATTTTGGACAGTGTCTTATAAACTTTAGACAGTAGTTTGGGGGGTTTGAGATTATAAAAGTCTAATACTCTTGGTGGTGTTTGTAATTCTATTTTATCGAGCTTAAAATTTTGTTTGACTACAGATTTCATTTGGTGATATTCTAAAAAGCTATTCTTATCCATTCCAAATTGGGAGACTATTCAATTAAATGGGATGAAGTCCAATCCTTCATATATGTGTTCCAGGTATAGGATTCCTTTATTTTTCCAGTCCGGAGGATCTATTGTTTATGCTTATGTTTGTTTTTATGTTTATGTTTATGATCTATTGTTGAAATATGGGGATGATCTTTTAGATTATGAGTGTGTGTGTGTGTGTGTGTGTGTGTGTGTGTGTGTGTGTGTGTGTGTGTGTGTGTGTGTGTGTGTGTGTGTGTGTGTGTGTGTGTGTGTGTGTGTGTGTGTGTGTGTGTGTGTGTGTGTGTGTGTGTGTGTGGTAGCTTTCCTAAATGACTTGTTTTTCCCTTACCGGAGCTAACACGGTTATCAGTCATGCTAACAGGACTCTGGAGTCCAGGATTAGCGGTGCGGTTCCAGATGGATTTATAGGTGTTGGTTATTATTTTAGATCAGACACGGACATGTGGTCCAGACCTTTTGCTGCAGCTGTAAACACAGTTTTCTGTAATAATTAAGAGCACGACGGTAAACAAAATACAGTTATTCACAATACAGCAGCTAGCTTGTTTTACGTGTTGGAGTGACGTATGAGGAGCACAGTTCTTCACTGTCTGGAGGAGAGGATTTGGATTTCTGTAATGATTTATGACAAAAGTCCTCAACAAATGAACCTGGTTCATGTTTATATAGATGATAAAATGTAGTTACACTGAATTTCTACTATCCTAATCCGAGTCTGGCCAATACCGTTAAGCTCTAATTGTTTTTTCTTTCTGTAGCCTGAATTTGCGAACATTTGCTTCTGGTACATCCCGCCCAGTCTCAGGAACCTTCCAGATGGGCCCGAGTTCTGGAAAAAGCTGCACAATGTAAGACTTTCACTAATAAAACGTCCAACTAAACTTTAGTTTGTTACACACTGAAATACAAAAGCTTTAATCCTGTCCAGCCGAGTAAAGATCAACCATCAACACAACCAAACTAACTCCTCTCCTCACTGATCGACCAATCACACGTAGAGAAGGGTTGCTACGGCAGCCTGGAGGGTCAATCAGGATGTCAGCGCTATTAACGATGTTTTCCATCTTTGCATAGAAAAGTATCACTGAGCTCAGCTTCACAGAGTGTGTGATATTCATAGGTACAGAGGTGTACTTATACATCACCTGTTTGTCCCGTTCTTTAGCTATACAGATGAAAACACCCTAAATACTTATAGTACTACTAGTACACGCGAGTTACAGCACTAGCAGTACTAGGGTTATAGTACTACTACTACACGTGGGTTACAGCACTACCAGTACTAGGGTTATAGTACTACTAGTACACGCGGGTTACAGCACTACCAGTACTAGGGTTATAGTACTACTAGTACACGCGGGTTATAGCACTACCAGTACTAGGGTTATAGTACTACTAATACTAGGGTTATAGTACTACTATTACACGTGGTTACAGCACTACCAGTACTAGGGTTATAGTACTACTAGTACATGTGGTTACAGCACTACCAGTACTAGGGTAATAGTACTACTAGTACACATGGTTACAGCACTACCAGTACTAGGGTTATAGTACTACTAGTACACGCGGGTTACAGCACTACCAGTACTAGGGTTATAGTACTACTAGTACACGCGGGTTACAGCACTACCAGTACTAGGGTTATAGTACTACTAGTACACGCGGGTTACAGCACTACCAGTACTAGGATTATAGTACTACTAGTACACGCGGGTTATAGCACTACCAGTACTAGGGTTATAGTACTACTAGTACACGCGGGTTACAGCACTACCAGTACTAGGGTTATAGTACTACTAGTACACGCGGGTTATAGCACTACCAGTACTAGGGTTATAGTACTACTAGTACGCGCGGGTTATAGCACTACCAGTACTAGGGTTATAGTACTACTAGTACACGTGGGTTACAGCACTACCAGTACTAGGGTTATAGTACTACTAGTACATGCGGGTTACAGCACTACCAGTACTAGGGTTATAGTACTACTAGTACACGTGGTTACAGCACTACCAGTACTAGGGTTATAGTACTACTAGTACACGTGGGTTACAGCACTACCAGTACTAGGGTTATAGTACTACTAGTACACACGGGTTACAGCACTACCAGTACTAGGGTTATAGTACTACTAGTACACGTGGTTACAGCGCTACCAGTACTAGGGTTATAGTACTACTAGTACACATGGTTACAGCACTACCAGTACTAGGGTTGTACTATTAGCACACTTGATTAGAGTACTACTAGTGGTTATGGTACTACTAGTACTAGTATAGTTCCATGTAACTAAGCTTCATGTTAAGTCGATGCTAGTGTGACGCAAAACGGAGAGCAAGAGAAAAACCCTCGGGCTGAGGTTTGTTGGTTCTGGCTAACCCTACCCCTGTTGGTGATGGTGGGTCCTGCAGGTGGCTCCGGTCATCAAAGAGCGTATGATGAAGACTGGCAGCATGATGATAGGCTACCAGCCCCATGGAGACAAGCCCAACTTCTTCAGGATGGTGGTCATCAGCCCTCAGGTCAGCAGGCAGGACCTGGACTTTGTCCTGGAGGAGATGCACCATCTGGGACAGGACTTGTGATGACCTGTCTGTGACCAACTCTGCTGTTGTTTTGTTGTCTTTATGAAAAGTTTGTTACCTTCATCAGCGTTGGTTTGTGAGTGAACAGATCAGAGCACCCTGATGTTTGTACAACGTGCTGAAATAAAAACAGAAGAATGAAAACCCCAGCTTCGTTATCTCCACGCATCACCACCTGTGAACATTCTAATCCACGACGTAGTTATTAGCCATCTATGATGTGATCATCAATAAATGGATCCATACGTGGTCAAAAAGTGTCCGTAAGAAGCAGTTCACAAAGGAGGATTTGGGACATTTTTCCACAAGTTGACAGGTGATGATGTCACACATTAAACTGTGATCTTTGGTCTTTTGTCTCCTCCTGCCTGCTGCAGAGGTCAGAGTTCACACAAACATTCATAGACTGATAAACGACCTTCACCTTCATCTGTCTGAGTCAGAGGACTCTGAAGCACTTCATGCTTGAGCTAATCATTCATCCATTCATCTGCTGATGGTGATGAGCTACATTGAAGCCACAGCTGCAACAAAAGTCGCATTTATTCACGTTTTAGATCAAAATATTCTCTAGTGTAGCAAGCTATATACATACATACTTACACACACTGCCCGGCCTCAAATAAGTCACCTGGATTTACCTGAGCAGACAGGTAGGAGCCTCCTACTGGATAATGACCGCATGGGCGATCATCTTTCAGCTGCAACTAGTTATTTAACCCAACTGGTGCAACGAGCTGCTTCTCATTCCTTACACAACCAGGTGGAAAGATGCATCTGGTAGAGAAGATGTTAGTCTGTGTGAGAAGGGTCAGATCATCGGCGTCAAGCGGAGAAAACATCTAAGGAGACGCAGAAACGACTAAAACTGGGTTCAGAACTGTCCAACTGGTCTGATGAGTCCAGATGGACCCTGGTCCAGAGTGATGGCGGATCAGGGTAAGAAGAGAGGCAGATGACGTGATGCACCCATCATGCCTAGCGCCTACTGCACAAGCCTGTGGGGGCAGGGCTATGATCTGGGCTTGCTGCAGGTGGTCAGGTCTAGGTTCAGCAACAGGACGTGCTCCAGGAATGAGGTCAGCTGACTACCTGAACATCCTGAATGACCAGGTTATTCCATCTTCCCTGATGGCACGGCCATATTCCAAGGTGACAATGCCAGGATTCATCGGGTCAGATGGTGAGAGAGTGGTTCAGAGTCCAGACCTTAACCCCATCTTTGGGATGTGCTGGAGAAGGCTTTGTGCAGCGGCCAGACTCCACCATCATCGGTGCAACATCTTGGTGGAACATTAATGCAACACTGGATGGAGATAAATCTGGTGAAGCTTATGGAAACAATTACTAGAGTGTGTGACCTTCATTTGGTGGTGACCTTTTTGGCTGGGCAGTATGTGTGTGTGTGTGTGTGCGTGCGTGCGTGTGTGTACACACACCACTCTATAGGGCTGCTTAAATGATGGCTTCACGCTGATGCAGGTGAGGAACAACACCTGGAGGAGAAGAACAGCAACACAAATACCAGGACGAAGACACAGAAAGCTCCATGGTTCACTGGGTACTTGTGTTTATTTGGAATCTTTTATATCTTTAGTGTCCTTGTGAAGGAAATGCAGTGCCATCATCCAACAGCTGAGGTCATCATAAACATCAGGAAGAGTTCTGGATTCTCCTTCGCTTGGTCCAAATGAAGCTCTCAGGTCTCTTGTCCATCATCACAAGTCCTGTCCCAGATGGTGGATCTCCTCCAGGACAAAGTCCAGGTCCTGCCTGCTGACCTGAGGGCTGATGACCACCATCCTGAAGAAGTTGGGCTTGTCTCCATGTGTCTGGTAGCCTATCATCATGCTGCCAGTCTTCATCATACGCTCTTTGATGACTGGAGCCACCTGCAGGACAAGGAGGAAGCAGTGGTCAGCCATGTTTCTGAGGTCAACGTGCAAAATAGTTTCCTGAGCAGCGTCTGTTCAGAAGAATAGAGATTATGTCCTTCAAGATGGATGGACTAATGCTGGCAGAGAGTAAAGCGTGTTTCTGTGGTGATAAAACCGCTTCGATCTGAACTGAACAAATACTCACACAACATTTTTGTCTCAGCAGCCACTAGAAGTGCTGGAGTCGACTCCATCAGGACAGGTGTACTGACAAAATAACCCGGTTCTGGTTCTCCACAGGTGATGTTACTGTCACAGGTAACTGGAGGCAGTCGTTCTAACTGGTCGTGGCTGATCTTGAACTGGCCGTTAGTTGTGTGTTTGCTTTTAGGATTGATGTTAAAACCGACAACCTTCTGGAGTTTAAAACGTCCGACATTGTCCCCCACTAAGACACCGCTGGTTAGGATCTGGTCCCCCTTGGCAGCCCTCCATCAGGAATCGCCCACGAGATGAACTCAACACACTAACAAGCTTCAGCAATTAGAAAACGGGCTCTTACAGCGTGCAGCTTTGTCCACAGCTCAGGTCCTTCTGGGAGCTTCCTCAGGCTGGGAGGGATGTACCAGAAGCACATGTTTGCAAACTCAGGCTAGAGAGAGAGAGAGAGAGATTAATGATCAGATCCATAGGGTTAGGGGTGTAACTGACTGACTAAGGACTCTATATAACCCGCCGGCCTGCCGACATGCTTATCTAACTACAATGAAGGAAGTGTTTCAGCCTGCTGGCAACAACACATGGACAGAGTTTGTGGTTCAGCAGGCAGTGCTGCTGGATGTCCCTCGGGTCAGTCCACCGCTACAACATCCAAGATGGATGTGTCTGCAGCGCTCCGCTGAGAGAGGTCCTCTGTCAGGTGTTCATTCCTGAGGACAGAGCCAGGTGAGTCCACAGCATGCTGCGTCACCACAACAGCACAAGCCAAACCATCAGCCTGGTCCAGGACAAGACAGAGGACATGGGGGTCATCCATGTGTTTTACACACTACACCCTGAGCTAATCAATGCATCTTCAGCTCTGTCCCTAAAGCCGGGTGTACACTTTGGTTTCCGGCCAAATTTGAGCCGGTTTTCCACTCATGTGGCGATCTTTAAGGTCGGGCCAGGGTTTGTTTCACGTGTCGTGTTGCAGGGGGTTACGAGAAAAGTGTAACACCTCACGACTAGCTCCTGATCAGCACACCACACGTTTGAAATTGTTGCTCGTTGTTACGGCTCCTGAAACGAGATAAGCCATGCACCCATCTGACAAACAAATGTTGCTGTGCCAGTGCAACCAGCTGATTGGGTGATTCAGATGTGCATGCCCACGCCCCTCTGTCGCCATTGGTCTGGCTTTGTGTAGCCTGTCATGCTCCTGAGTGGCTGCACCTGTGGGAGCAGCATAAAAGGCTGTTTGGTGCAGCTCCACAGAGACGAGACTGATCAGAGATCTCGACAGCCTCTGCCCGTGTGGCAGTGGTGAGGCCCTCTCTCCCACAACGTGCCTTAACCTCCTCCTAATGTAGCGATCCCACAAGCCGGGTCGTAACACCCCTCCTTAGGACAGCATTTTTTATGGAGTCCCACCCCTAAAATAAAAACAAACTTACTTCCATCAACAGCTGGAACCCATCTCTTTTCTTGATCTCTTGTGTTAGATACCTGCAAAAAGAGCAAATGTCTCATTAGAGCTGGGACAAAGTCAGGGTTGTCTTCCACAACGTGACGGAGGACAATCACCTGTATCAATCAAATCAAATCAAAGATACTTTATTAATCCCAGAGGGAAATTAGAGTTTCAGTACACACAATTCAGAGATCAGACATACATGGGCAAGACACATGACAAGAATTGATGACTGTGGTCATTCGCAACCCTGAGTCGCGCTACTGTAATAGAGATAGTGTAGGTCGGGTTTTCACAGCATCTGTCTGCATTCCTTTGTGGGGGTTTGTTGCTAGCAGCTCAAGGCTACCAGGGCGTCAGATTCAGATAACAAGAATTTGTTTGGGTCAGACTGAGATAATTTTCCTCTCTGCCTTCAGTCTTTAAACTGATCATTCCAGTCCTTCAGTGAAGCCAATTTGGGGTGTTTAAACCTGTCCATACCGTCCGGTGACTCTCTCCGAGAGGACATCCCTTTTGCGCACTAATACCGGTATCGCAGCTAGAACATTGTCCAGCTTACGATTCACCTCGAGTAACGTCCCAGTCTGTGAGGTCTCCACATGGACGGTGCTTTCCGTGGGTGCGGGTCGCCCTCCAATCGCTCCCGTCTTCCCAAATTTACAGAAAACCAGATAACCTCCCACTCCAATCAGGAGAAATCCAGTGATCATCAGGCCGAATATCCACACGTCTTCGACGTCCTCAATGGACAGCTGGCTGAAGCATATGACCTCCCACTCCTTCCAGGAATCCAGCATATATCCCACCGGGTGTGTCCCCTGTGGACATGTGGGAGCCCCCTGCTCCGTTCTCATTGTTGAAAAAATCTTATCGATCGCATTGAATGACCAGTTTATCAAATCCATGGTTGATAATAGGGGTTTTTCAGAAGAAACGCAGCGAAGCGCTCTGTGGGCAGACAGGACAAAGAGCCTTGGGAAAAAGAGATAAGGGAGCAAAAAGAGAAGCGTCTGTACTCCGCGAGTGCCAGGAAGAGAAACTAGTACACTAGTGTTTCACAGCTTTGGTCTAATTATTGACGTGTATCATCACCTGTTGGCCACAGGTGTCCTTTAAAGGTTCCAACAGCAGTTCCGTGATAAAACTGTTGCTCCGCAGACATAATTAGTTATGGGCTAAAATAATAAGCAGAAGAACACATGTGGACGACGAGACCTTCAGCGCTGCAGTTACCTCCTTCTCCCCCGTTGTAAGCATGGCCAGAGCTGTTCTTAAATTTAGGAACATTTCTACACACAAGTACAACGTGGTAAATACCACACAAGTGCTCCAACATAAGAAGTATGCACATATCTGTGTGTAAGTAGTACGGATGGTAAATGAGAGTCCTGATCTTCAAAAGAAAGTGTGCTGAGTCCAGATGAGTGTTTCTGTGAGGCTTTTAGCAGAGAGGAGGCACAGGTTAGAACATCACTAACATCACCTTCCCCCTCTCACCTGGCCATGGCGAGGGCTCGGTCTACCCTCTGCTCCAGCTCTCTGCTCCCTAAAGCCTTCCACATCAGCCACAACTTGAAGGCGTCCGGTTTCCTGCTGCACTGGACGGACTTGTCCCCCGTGTCGTAGCTCACATCGTAGAACTTGTCCTGCTGGAAGAGGTAGGAGGCCCGAGCAGAGTGGCAGCGCTGGAGGAGACTCTGAAAGAAAACAAGGTGCTTTTATTTCAACACCTGTAAGTGTTGGAGGAGCTGAAACTATTGTCTGCTGCTGCACAGAAAAAAATAAGAAAAAGCAGCAGATGATGAGATCTCTCACCGTTTTATCTCTGACCAGGAAGGCTGAGCACTGCAGCGAAGCCATCAGCATCTTGTGAGGGTTCCAGGAGACCGAATGAACCCTAGTCACAAACAAAAACACAGCAAGTATGTCCTGAGTCATGCCACTCAAACCTTTACCTAATGAGCAATGACTCGGTCACGTAGGCGCAGAAGCCTAGTCAAACCAGTAGAAATCACAGTACATCAAATATTATTCATGGAGATGAAGTCAGAAAGGAAGCAGGAAGCATTTTCAGGTCAGTAAAACTAGATTGTATGCTCAGACTAAATCAGAGTCAGAATCCCACCGGCTTCAATCACGGGTTCTTCAAACGAGCTGAAGGGCTTTGGACCTCGGTCAAAGGCATTTATAACAAGTTCAAATTATTTGAAAAGCAAAGTTTCTCTTAAAGAAGTCTCAGAGATGTCTGGGACAAGTCTCGGAGGTGTCTGGACAAGTCTCGAAGGTGTCTGGGACAAGTCTCAGAGATGTCTGGGACAAGTCTCAGAGGTGTCTGGGACAAGTCTCGGAGGTGTCTGGGACAAGTCTCAGAGGTGTCTGGGACAAGTCTCGGAGGTGTCTGGGACAAGTCTCGGAGGTGTCTGGACAAGTCTCGGAGGTGTCTGGACAAGTCTCGAAGGTGTCTGGGACAAGTCTCAGAGATGTCTGGGACAAGTCTCTGAGGTGTCTGGGACAAGTCTCTGAGGTGTCTGGGACAAGTCTCGGAAGTGTCTGGGACAAGTCTCGGAAGTGTCTGGGACAAGTCTCGGAGGTGTCTGGGACAAGTCTCGGAGGTGTCTGGGACAAGTCTCGGAGGTGTCTGGGACAAGTCTCGGAGGTGTCTGGGACAAGTCTCGGAGGTGTCTGGACAAGTCTCGGAGGTGTCTGGACAAGTCTCGAAGGTGTCTGGGACAAGTCTCTGAGGTGTCTGGGAAAAGTCTCTGAGGTGTCTGGGACAAGTCTCTGAAGTGTCTGGGACAAGTCTCGGAAGTGTCTGGGACAAGTCTCTGAGGTGTCTGGGACAAGTCCCGGAAGTGTCTGGGACAAGTCTCGGAAGTGTCTGGGACAAGTCTCGGAGGTGTCTGGGACAAGTCTCGGAGGTGTCTGGGACAAGTCTCGGAGGTGTCTGGGACAAGTCTCGGAGATGTCTGGAACAAGTCTCGGAGGTGTCTGGGACAAGTCTCGGAGATGTCTGGGACAAGTCTCTGAGGTGTCTGGACAAGTCTCGGAGGTGTCTGGGACAAGTCTCAGAGATGTCTGGGACAAGTCTCTGAGGTGTCTGGGACAAGTCTCTGAGGTGTCTGGGACAAGTCTCGGAAGTGTCTGGGACAAGTCTCGGAAGTGTCTGGGACAAGTCTCGGAGGTGTCTGGGACAAGTCTCGGAGGTGTCTGGGACAAGTCTCGGAGATGTCTGGAACAAGTCTCGGAGGTGTCTGGGACAAGTCTCGGAGATGTCTGGGACAAGTCTCTGAGGTGTCTGGGACAAGTCTCTGAGGTGTCTGGGAGAAGTCTCGGAAGTGTCTGGGACAAGTCTCTGAAGTGTCTGGGACAAGTCTCGGAGGTGTCTGGGACAAGTCTCGGAGGTGTCTGGGACAAGTCTCGGAAGTGTCTGGAACAAGTCTCGGAGGTGTCTGGGACAAGTCTCGGAGATGTCTGGAACAAGTCTCGGAGGTGTCTGGGACAAGTCTCGGAGATGTCTGGGACAAGTCTCTGAGGTGTCTGGGACAAGTCTCTGAAGTGTCTGGGACAAATCTCGGAGGTGTCTGGGAGAAGTCTCGGAAGTGTCTGGGACAAGTCTCTGAAGTGTCTGGGACAAGTCTCGGAGGTGTCTGGGACAAGTCTCGGAGGTGTCTGGGACAAGTCTCGGAAGTGTCTGGGACAAGTCTCGGAGGTGTCTGGGACAAGTCTCGGAGGTGTCTGGGACAAGTCTCGGAGGTGTCTGGGACAAGTCTCGGAGGTGTCTGGGACATATCTGATTCCACCCACCTCATCAGAGGCACATGGACTGAGCTGTCTAAGGACACATCTTCAGGTCTACCTTCTGTTTTCTCCCTACTGGCTGATAAGGACACACCCACCTATGGATGCCCTTTAACAAATGCTTGTGTTTCTTCGACATGAGAGCAGCTCCTCCCCAACACGCCTGGAGACAAGAAGAAGAAGATGAGGCTGATGATGCTGAGGTGCTGGTTAATCAGAAACGTAATGAAGGAACTCACATCCACATGCAGCCACAGGTTGTGTTTCTCACAGACGCTGGCGATCTCCTCAATGGGATCAAAGGCTCCAAACACTGTCGTACCAGCTGTGGCATTTACCATGAAAGGGACTGCACCCTACACACACACACACACGCACGCACGCACGCACGCACACACACACACACACACACACACACACAAAATGTGGTGTTGAAAAAGCAGTCATGACTCAGATCTTTATCTAAAACCTTCAAAGGAATAGTTTGGTTCCTTCTGAGGAAAAACAGAATATCTGCTACAGGTGGCTGTTTGACTGACCTCAGTGTGGAGGGGCTGAGTTCTGACCAGGGTGGGTTAGTCATGTGGGCCAGTTAATGTTATGTGAACTTTATACGGGTCTGCATGGGTATTTATACAGAATCGTGGTTATTTGCAGCAGATCTGCTACTTGAGCTTTTCTGATGGAATTGCATAATAATTCTGCACAAATATCAAATATATTCTATAAAAAGGGCATTCACAGGTCAGATAACAGTGTTGATGTATTTCCTCAGAAACCCACCATAATAAATATATATGTTCTATGTAACCTTTATTTAACCAGAACAGACTTTGTTACAGTTACAAGCGTGACCCGGCCAAGAGGCAGCAGCTCAGTCCGCACAACACCAAACACACATGCAGAGAGCACACACGTCACACACGACCAAAAACCTCAAAAGGACATGAAGGCGATGCAGTCAACGCTTTTCTAGCAGAACCGGTCAGAATTCATGAGTCAAAGCGTTTACAAAACATTAAATGACTATTTAAATCGTCTCAGGGAGGCGGTTCTGGTAGGGTCAGATGGTTCTGGGGCTGATTCCTAGCCCAGAAATCGTTTAGCTCTTCAGGTCGGTCTAGCCACGCCCTATCGTAGCCTCAGCAGGTCTGCCACTGGCTCAGCTAAGGTTAGGCCAGGCCCATCGCAGTGCTCTAAGAGGAGGGCGGGGCTAGTTTGAAACTGCTTTGGCATCAACTTTGGACCACTGATAGAGGTTCTTCTTCTTCTACTACTTCTATGTGGGTACATGGCGGACTGCCAGCTGACCGATTGTTGTTGCTACGAATACGTCATGTTGTTCGTTGCTCTGATTGGTCCTAGCGTTGTCCAGTAGCATATCGAACTGAAACAATACATTCTGCCTGAAGACTCTGACTATGGGTCAGACTGTATATGACATGAATAGGATGGCTATCACGCCGAATATTTATGTTATTTTTTCTCAGACTCAGCTTGAGCCCTCAGTGGGATTGAGCGTTGGTGCCGGCGTACGGCAGCCTCGCTTATGCCAGTGTGGCCCAGGGCAGCTGTGGCTACGGTTTAGCTCACTACCTTCAGTGTATGAAAGGGTGAATGAGTAGCATAAAGCGCTTTGGAGTCCTCTGACCCAGAAAGGCCCTACACAAGTGCAGACCATCGTTCTCGTTCACCATGGCGGCGCGCACGGACGCGGTGGCTCATGGCTCCCAGCAACTAGGCACAATTGTTTGTTTTTCAGGTTGTCTTGTTTTATAAGCCCACTTCTGCCATGGACTTATTACTCACCCCAGGAGATACTGGCCATCGAATCTCAGCTAAATACTAAAGTAACAGTTGAATTCACCCGGGCATACAATACTCCACCAGAGATAGCCAGACCAGCCGGAGCTCCGTGGACTGTTGTCGGCTCTGCAAGGTGTCGCAGACGGCGCAGAGACAGGAAACAGAAGCGAGGCTGCACAACTAAGGAGGAAACCACACAGCCCGCCGCTACCATCCATTCTGCTCCTAAATGCCCAGTCTCTTGCCAACAAAATGGATGATCTGCAATCACAGCTTGCTTACAACCACACCACTTGTGATTGTTGTTTGCTGATTATTACAGAATCCTGGCTCCACCCGCACATTCCAGACGCCAGCGTTGAGCTAACCGGCTATGTGCTCCATCGCCTCGATCGGGATAAAAGCTCCGGTAAGACCAGAGGAGGAGGACTCTGTGTTTATGTGCATGAGGACTGGTGCTGAAACAGCAGAGTAATAAATACCTTTTGCTCATCAGACTTAGAGTCTCGGTCTGTCCAGTGCGGAACATTCTATCTGCCACGGGAGCTAACGCTAGTCATTGCTACTGCTGTTTATATCCCACCTAATGCTAATGTTAGCGCTGCACTCATCCTGCTTCATCACTTTTTAACCAAACAGCAGCAGGCTCATCCAGATGGAGTACACATAATAGCTGGGGACTTTAACAAAGCATGCTTAAAGACTGTTTTCTCCAAACTCCACCAACAGGTCAAGTTTGCAACCCGGGGTAAAAATACACCGGACCGTGTATATACCAACATCAAGCATGCTTATAGAGCTACACCCCTTCCCCATCTTGGACAGTCTGACCACCTCTCCATGTTTCTCATCCCAGCTCACACTCCCCTCAGGAAGCAAACAAAGCCCACAACACACACCATCACCACGTTACCTGCTGAAGCCCTCCCTCAGCTGCAGGACTGCTTTGCCTGCACAGACTGGAGAGCGTTTGAACAACAGGACCTGGAGGCACACACAGAGACGGCGCTATCCTACATCAGAACCTGTGTAGAAAATGTCACAGTGACCAAACAGATTCAGATCTTCCCAAATAGGAAGCCCTGGACAACATCAGAGGTCCAGGCTCTAATCAGAGCCCGCAATGTGGCCTTCAAGTCAGGTAACAGCAACTTGTACCGCACAGCCAGAACTAGTCTGAGGAAGGGCATTCGCCAGGCAAAGAGAGTCTACAGGAGGAAAATAGAAGACCTCTTTCACAACAACAGTCCCCGGAAGATGTGGAAGGGGATCCAGACTCTGTCCAACTACAGAGGCCACACTCTGTCCAACACTGGCAGCAGCAGGACACAGGCAGAGGAGCTAAACAACTTCTTTGCTCGTTTTGAAACCACCGCCAACCCACTTTTACAACCCCCCCACAACGTGAGCACCCCCAGTCCTCCCTCTCCCATGCTCCAGGAACATGAGGTGAGAAGACCCTTGAGAGCAGTAAATCCCAGGAAAGCTGCCGGACCAGACGGCATACCGGGGATCGTGGTTAGGGAGTGTGCCAGTGAGCTGGCAGGCATCCTCACCAAGTCGTTTAACCTCTCTCTGTCTCATGCTTCAGTCCCAAGCTGCCTCAAGTCTGCAACAGTTGTTCCCATCCCCAAAACATCTTCCATAGACAGCTTAAATGACTATCGACCGGTTGCCCTCACACCTGTAAACAGTGTCTGGAGCCACTCTTCTCCAACCACATCCAAACCTGTCTCCCTACCTGCTTCGACCCCCTTCAGTTTGCCTACAGGGAAAACAGATCAACAGAGGACGCCATCGCCCTGACGCTGCACACAGCACTGAGCCACCTAGAGACCAGAGGAAGCTACGTCAGGATGCTCTTTGTTGACTTCAGTTCAGCGTTCAACACCATCATCCCAGACATCCTTACCTCAGAACTGCTGAGCCTTCAGATCCCTCCCTCTACCTGCCACTGGGTAAAAGACTTTCTCACAAGTCGACCACAGCATGTTAAACATGGCTCCCATCTCTCCTCCTCCATCCTGCTCAGTACTGGCTCTCCTCAGGGATGTGTGCTGAGCCCCCTACTGTACACTCTGTACACATCGGACTGTACCGCCCCCCACCCATCCACTGCCATCTTCAAGTTTGCTGATGACACCACCGTGGTCGGCCTCATCACAGACGGAGATGAGGCAGCGTACCGGGCAGAGGTCAGTAATCACTCATGGTGGTGCTCAGATAACAACCTCACTCTGAATATAGAAAAAACAAAAGAGCTCATTCTGGATTTCAGAAGACACCGTCACACACACGCCCCTCTCCTCATAAATGGGAGCGTGTGTACCGTGTCCCCTCCATCAGGTTCCTCGGCACCATCATCTCTGCTGACCTGTCCTGGTCTGCCAACACCAGAGCTCTGGTTAAAAAGGCTCAGCAGCGGCTGCACTTTCTCCGGGTCTTGAGAAGGTGTGGCCTGGGTCAGAAACTGCTGCTGGCTTTCTACCACTGCTCCGTGGAGAGCACCTTCACCTACTCTGAGTGTGTGGTATGCAGGCTCCACCATCTCCAGAACCTGCTGCCTGAAGAGAACCGCTGCTATCCTCCGTGACCCCGCCCACCCTGCCCGCTGCCTGTTTGACCTGCTGCCCTCAGGGCGCCGCTCCAGGTCAGTTAAATCACACACCACCAGACTTTCCAACAGCTTCTTCCCTTGGGCCATCAGAACATTCAACACAACAGCACCATTCAACCCCCCCACATCCCGTCAGTAATGTGGACTCATCTGTTTTAAATTGTTGTTTCAGCAGATCTGAATCACTGGTTGCACTTTCCTGCTGTTTGCTAAATGTTGTAATTGTTTTAGTCCTCTATGGTTTTGATGTTTATTGTTATTTATTGTCTTGTGCACTGTTGATGGCAGACCATCTGTAATGTAACTGCCATGAGCAATTACTATAAAGTCTATTCTATTCTATTCTATTCTATTCTATTCTTTCATCGTCACTTACAGTAGAACGGTCCACTCACCTCACGTTTTGCCAGCTGTATTCTCTCCTCCAGAGCCGAAGGAATCATCTTTCCTCTAAAAACACATTCATCTTGTTATGTAGAAGGTTTTAGGACAATAGTTCATGGAGAAAATCAACGAGTGTAGCTTCTCTTAAAAACACTCTATTCACACTCAACTTTGCTCTTCCAAATCGTGTAAAATGCCAAAAGACATCTGACAACAGAAACGTGTTCCTCACATCACCGGACCGTTGTAGCGATATGTTGAACACGTCCGCCATATTGGGAGGGGAGACGTTGTCTGCTTAAAACATTCAAGTGTTTTTGTAAAGTATCACAAAATCATAAAACGGTGAAAGGTGTGTGTTTGATATAGCACCTTTTAGA